CACCAACCGGTACTAAAAGGCTCCCTACCCCCGAAGCTGGCTCGTGCCACGTGGTTGCCCTTTAGCACCGGTTCGTGCTGAACCGATACTAAAAGGGGGACCTTTAGTGCCTACATTTTAGCGCCGGTTACCAAACCGGCACTAAAGGGCCTTACGAACCGGTGCTATTGCCCGGTTCTGCACTAGTGTAGAATTTATATAGCCTTTCAGCCGGTTTAGAATGCATTTTGTAAAGTCAATATCTATCCTTCAGTTTCATGTATCATATTGTCACATATTGAGCTCTTCAGTAGTAAATGTATCATCTTAAGAGTGTACTGAAGCTAGATTTGGACGCTGACGCGTACTAACAAGTTTTCACTTTCCCGACATGGGCGCAGGGGTGATCGACGCGGACTACCGCGGCCCGGTGGGCCTCGTGCTCTTCAACCACTCGGAGGCGGACTTCGCCGTGAAGCCCGGCGGCCACATCGCACAGATGATCCTCCAGGTGATCGCGACGCCGAAGGTCGCCGAGGTGGAGGACCTCGACGCTACCGTCCGGGGGGAGGGAGGATTCGGGTCCACCGGCGTGTGAACTCCGAGCCTTGGTAGATACATCTAGAGAAGTTGTTTGTTTAGGTTGGTGGTGAACACTAGGGAAGGTACCCACGTTTTGATGATGGTTGTGTGCGTCTGATGTTAAATGGATTCTTGTGATCTCTTTCAGTTGAGATGGTTCTGTGACCTTAGTTTATTTTGCACTTGATGTGTCTCTAATTTCCATCCATTGAGTACTGCATCTAATTTTTATTTTTTTAATTCCTAATTAGCTAGTAGTAGCGTGGGGGAAAAGGTGCACGCTACTAGTACATAGGATAGTAGTAGCGTGGGTTGCTAAAAAGCGCTATTGCTATCTCCAGTTACCAGTAGCGCTGGGACAAACAAGCGCTACTGCTAAAAAATAGCTGTAGCGCCGTAGCAGTAGTGCGTTTGCCAGCGCTACTGGTAGCAAAAAAAACCAATGCTACTAGTAAGCATTTTCCTAGTAGTGACACCTCGTCCCTTCAAGTTAATGGCGCACAGACTCCAAGGGGAGGGATGGCCGCTTGGTAGGAGCCAGCCTCCCCTTGTGGTCGCCTGCTCTGGCCTCGCCGTCTTTTGGTGTTACGCGGACAGGTGGGGCTCGCCGTCTGCGGGCCATACCGACCGCCTGTCGTGGGAGCATGGCCCTATCTGACGTAGGCAACGTCACAGGCCGCGTGGCTACAGTACCGCATCAGGCGAGGGGTGTCCGCTTGGTGCACCCGTACTGTGCCCACGTTCCGCCCTGGATTCGGGGGTGGCAGGTCACACTGTAGTCACGCCCTGTCTTGTCGTGGTAGGTGGGTGCTAACTTTGAGGGGGCAAAGTGCCGCCTGATAGGATTCGGCCCATGCCCTTGTCGCCTTCTGGAGTGCGCCGCCTTCTAGGAGGCGGTCTTTTGGCATCAGCCGGCCTCAAGGGCCGGCCTTTAGACCAGTCGGGTTGAGGGGCTTGGCCAGCACCGATGTCTTAAAAAGTGTTGAAGTGCTGATGAGGCTACCTGGGGTTTATCCCCCCGTTAATATATGTGTAATTTTAAAAATTGGTTAGCAAGGTCTACAACTGAGTGTTGCATATGTTCACATATTCTGGTTTTCTTTCTTTAACGTTTTGATATGGCTGCAATTTAATGTTGCTTTACTTCCAAAATCATTCATCTTTCTATTTAAGCCTAAAAATGCAACCTACAAAGTTCTGCAGTGCGGGGTATTTTTTTAGTTATCTATATGCACACACACACACATTCTAACAACACATGCATAATTCTGAATGCAAAGAGCTCATAACTCGACAAGTTAATTACCTAGGGCTCCCCTGCAATTAGCGTGGGAACAAAAATAGTACTGTAGACTGAAAAGATGTTTCTATTATGATTTAATATGTTGTTGCTCTATACATGATAAACTTTACGTGATGAAAATCCAGATAACTGAAATAGTGTCAACAGAAGACGAATGGTGCTATATGCGTGCAAGGAGTGCTGGAAAAAACTGCACACAGAAAATGATAGCTCAGTGTTCGGCATGTCCAAGCCACTTGTTTGGTAATACATCCATAAGGTCCTAAAGAAAAGCATGAGAAACTGATTATAAACTGTGAACACATTGGTGCAGGTACATGATCATGACATTTTGAACAATTAGGCAAGCAGCAAGGGAACTTTTTCCTTCGGAGAATCCGAAAGGGCAGAAAAAGAAGTGAATGAGCACAATTGAAGGCCTCCAATGCAAGACGTAGTTTGTTAGACGCAGCAAATAGTGTGGTCGTCAGTTTCGACCGTAGATGTTGTCGTCCCGGATCATCTATTTTGTGTAACCCAAGGTTATGTATTTTATGTCTGAACCTTAGCCACGGTCAATTTGATCTTGATCATGTAGTGAGACAGTGGGTATGAAATACTTTATGTGTATATATATTATCGTTTCCTACGTCATCTTCTCTGCATAGTCACTGCTAGCTGAGGTACTTCAATTTTAAAATCAAGGGATCTAGAACTGATTCCATACTAATCTGAAACATCGTGTGTGTTCAGTTCATTATGAAAAAAAATCCCTACATAATTACCACCAGCTCACATATTTGGGCTTGCAATCAAAGGATCTAGAACTAATTCCACTGGGTGCTAATCCGAAGCATCAGGGCATGCTCTTTCCTACATAATTATATTAGCTAGCTCATATGCCTAGTTAACATGCTTAATTCTACTCCCGCAACAAAAAAATATGCTTAATTCTCAGATCAAGGGATCCGAAATTAATTCCGTGTTAAGCTGTACTAGTCATTACGATTTTTTTTACAGTAGTTCTTATCTCCAAGTCAGATCTCTACTAATTCATCCAGGAAAATTCAGTCCGCTAATCAGAAACAAACACAAAGAGAAATGGGACAGAAATAGCACAGCAAACTGATTAGAGCAGGGGAATAATCTACCTACTCATAAAACTTGTACTAGCTCTGAAAAC